GGGAATGAAATTCTCAAAGTTCACTATAAAGACACATAAAGTATTGTTTTACAATATCTTAGCAACCAGACAATATGTATTAAAATGTTCCTGTGATGTTCAACTGCATCATCATCAGGTAGTGCCTTGATGATGTGTTCATTGCTGTTGTTTGCATCCTGATCATTTAAGCAGGAATATTGTCCTTCAATTCTCATATGCAAGAAAACATTTAATGTAATGTGTTACGTATGGTTCGTCAAGTTGGTAGGCTAATATAGGGGTAAGGTAAGCCATGGCAGTACTAGCATATTCCCAAGGTGAAGGAATTGATTTTGGCCCTCCCCTTTTGCCCCTGGAAAACATGGCTTGACGGGAAAAGGTGGCAATGGCTTGCTGGTACAAACATTAGCTATGTCAATGGACAGTGAACAAGGTTTATGTAAGGGTTATGTTAGTACAGTTTTTGTGATTGAATAATGACAAAATGTTTCAATTTAGATTATCCACATTCTAACTATGTGATACCTGTAGCCCTCAATGTCTGTCTAGCTCTCAACCTAAGCACATCAGATTACTGTAGAAATGTCTCTATCTTATGCAGCTGAACAATAGTGGAAAAAGTTATTTATGCTGATATCTAGTATAGTGGTCTTAAAAATACTACAAATTAAATTCATTCAAATTAAAATGAGTTGTGTTTTGAACTATTATTAATAGACTGAACCAACGCAGTTCCTCCATTGAGCATTTTCACAAGAACTGTGTTTTCCTGCAGTGCAGGTTTGATTAAATTCTATATATTGGACTATTCCAGTATTTTGGGTCAATCCCCCTGGACAGTGATTCTCTTCAGTGCTCCCTGGGGGCTGGAACTCTGTAGACAAACATTAACTTTGGGATAGACACTGTTTATTTATGGTCTACTCCTTCCATTTTTACTGCATCTACCATTTGATCAACATGAAATCATCTCTGACTCTGCTGTGTCTGGTGGTATGGGTGAATGTGGCTGCTTCATCAGCTCAGACTGGTAAGGATGTGTTTTCCTTCACTTTCTCACATGCTTGTAGTGACCACATTGGGTTAGTATCCACCAATTGCTCTGTAAGACACTGACTAGACTGTACAAAGTGGGTAAACATAACTGATGCGTTTGCTTTGCTACGTTTAGCTACTACTGTACATCATCATAGGGAAACAACACATTACTCTTCTGAAACGCTGGGAAAGTGACGTCCGTTTCTGCTATCAATTCCATATTCACGTTTCATGTTTTTGACAGGACTTCAAGAATATATAATCACATTTATAAAAATGTGGTCATTTGACCCATATGGTCCCTCTTTAAATGATGTGCAGCTTATAAAGGCGTCATAAAACATTCATAAACACTACAAAATTGTGTCACAAATCATCTATAACTGTATGTCATGCTCTATAAAGGGTTCATAAATGTGGCATAACTCTGTGACATAACCATCCATGTAAAATGTGACATAACCCACCAATATGACATAAACCTGTGCTTTATAAAGAGTGGCATAAGCACAGCTTAATAAAGGCTTATAAATCATATTAAATTGAGGCTTCACAAAGCATTTATAACCTTGCCATGCATCTTGGTAGAGCATTGCAATGCCAGGATAGTGGGTTTAATTCCCGGGACCACCCATACTTAAAAATGTATGCACGCATGACTGTAAATTGCTTTGGATTAAAGCGTCTACTAAATGGCATATATTATATTACTCTAAAACATTTCTAGGATGGCCCATCCTCTGTCCCTCTTGGGTGCATATCCAATATTGGACCTGACCTCAACTTTCCCCAAAATGCTGTGCTGCTGGATGAAACACGCTCTAAAGTGTAGTCATGCAAAGCAAAAAACATTGGTAGCGCCTTTTCAAATCCGTTTATTTACATTTTTATTCTGTTTTCTCATTTTTTTGCTTTTCCAAGTTTCTGATTTCCCAATTTTCTTCCTTTTTCCCTAAAATTTTTTCCACACTTTTTTAATAGAAAAACAACAACATTGGCTTTTCTGTGTTCACAACAATGCTTAAATCACATCAGGGGACCACTTTTGAGGTCTGGGAAAAATCTATGAAACATAGATTTGTTTGTGTAGTTAGCCTTTAATTCAGTGCACATGCACTGTTGTTTGGTTAGCGGTGTTTCTGTAACGCAGTAAGAGCACATGTGATGCAGTTCGTAAATCAAATGCCCACTTGTGGTGCCACTGGACAGTGAAAAACAAGTAAGTTAACCTTTATTTATTGTAATTTACATTTGTTTGTAGGTGTTAAGTGTTGAGTTAGATTACATAGCTACCTCAATTGTTATTTCAAAAAGTTTTGGTTACTTCACAGCAATTGCTAGCTAGCTAACGTTAGATACTTAGCTAATATTAGCAGCATAAGCTAGCTAGCAGGCTCAGTTAAAAACAATCCCCCTAGATACAGCCACATCTCATAGTCACATCATAAAATGTGTAAATGAAAGAAGAATATAATTTAACAAATCAAATAGAGTTTCCCATCTCCCCATTTAGAGTATATCTTGTGCAGCACAGAAATGCCCTCATAAAGATTGTATGACAAAGGCAATTCCTAACAGACCTGCTAAATTTATTGGTTGTTACTTTTAAGGTTGGAACCAACATCCAGTACCTCCAGCAGGCAGAGAGGCAAGAACCATTCGTCCGCAAGCTCAGGGACAAGCTACACCATTCACAGCCCTGTGTAATATTCAATGTAATTGCATTGCTGGACGTTTTTTAAACTGAATGTATTTGTATTGTTTTAAAGAATGTAAATATTAAAGGAAAAGTATGGTTTAAACTTGTATAGAATGGCGCCGGAGGAGATGGCTGCCGTTTTACGGGCTCCTAACCAATTGTGCTATTTTGTGTGTTTTTTCACATTGTTTGTAACTTATTTTTGTACATAATGTTTCTGCCACCGTCTCTTATGACCGAAAATAGCTTCTCGATATCAGAACAGCGATTACTCACCTCGAACTGGACGAAGATTTTTTCTTTAACGAGTCGGACGCAAATTACTTACTCGAGATACGGGACCAGGCCCAAATCCCCGTCATTTGCATGAAGAGAAGATGCAAAGATACAGGGGATGCAGGTCGGGGTGCCTTGTGAGAATTCGCCGGCGAGTGGGTGACCCGTGACCCCCCTCTACCATCTGTCCTATTGGTCAATGTGCAATCATTGGAGAATAAACTGGATGAACTCCGTTCAAGACTATCCTACCAACGCGACATTATAAACTGTAATATCTTATGTTTCACCGAGTCGTGGCTGAACGACGACATGGATAATATACAGTTGAATGGTTTTTCTGTGCATCGGCAAGACAGAACAGCTGCCTCCGGTAAGACAAGGGGTGGCGGTCTGTGTCTATTTGCCAATAACAGCTGGTGATGAAATCAAATATTAAGGAAGCCTCGAGGTTTTGCACGCCTGAGGTAGAGTATCTCATGATAAGCTGTAGACCACACTATTTACCAAGAGAGTTTTCACCTATATTTTTCGTAGCTG